ATACAGTGCTGTGTTATCTCTAATGGCACAAATAAAGCAGAATCTCTGTAACTGTAAGTTTACCTGTTCAAATGAAACACTCCTTGCTAGTAGTTTTATTAGGTCTCTGGCCCTAATGATGATGTATGGATCAAAAGTCTTCTTTGTTGTACAAACAGTCATGCTGCCCTCGATCAGGTCCAGGGTTGCATTAACATGCTACAGAAAGGAAAGAGCAAACAGGCAGCTGCCTAAAAATGAATTCAGTTTAGATACTTACATAACCTATCCTAATCTAACCATTAATTACTATGAATTAATCTCTCTCTAAAATTCTATCAACTCTCTCCTTGAAGAAGCTAGGTAGTTAATATAAAGAATGCTTGATTACTTTCATACTTCAGAGAATACAGAAACTCAGGCAATTGAAACCATTTATACTTACTGGGGTTTAGAATACTTTGTACTTACTGGAATAAAAATAATCTCTAGTTTAAAAAATACGTATCAATCCAAATGAGGCCATACTTATACTCACATGCTATTTTCTAACATATGAGCATATTTTGAAGAATATGTAAACATAGCGAGTGATGAACTATTCAACATAAGGCTGGGTCTGTATGAGTTTATGAGAGAGAGAGAGAGAGAGAGAGAGAGAGACCAATCTCAGATGTAGACAGCTATGAAACATTGCTTGCAGTTTGCCGAGTCACTCTCATACTCAATGGGCACAAATGAGTTCAGAGCAGTCCATCAGTTTGAGAAATATATTTTATGTCACAACCTAGTACACATACATATCCTATACAATAAAAGCCTAATATGCTAAGTGTCTGGTTGACTGATCAACCAATCAAAGTGTAATATGCTAGTGAATATGCTAAGGCTGCTCAACTGCTCGCTATGATGTGCACCTTGGCAGACACTCCAACTGGTAGGTTAGCTTGCTGCTGGGGTCCAGCCAACCAGGACTGAGCAAGATGGGCCAGACACGCCCTGGAGCCCTCCCGTGGTCCCTCCCTGGCTGGCCAACCTCCTGTGTCCCTCAGCCTGGCCTGCACCCTCTTGCAATCTGGGACTCCTCGGGGGATGTTGGAGAGCTGATTTCAGCCCGATCCCGCAGGCCAGGCTGAGGGACCCTACTGGTGCACGGATTCGTGCACTGGGCCTCTAGTATACACATAAAATGAATCAAAAGCTTCATAAAATCATCCTTACCACATGTGACACATTCATATTTTAAAGACTCCTTATATCCACTAAATTGACTTCTGGATCCACTAATGGATTTGAACCCATGTTTGAAAAACAAAAACAAATACACCACTCTAGGGGCATGGCAGCAGCAACAAATAGGAAAAAGATGGCACAACCACATCTTTCATTTAAAATGAAAATTAAGCAATTAGACAGAAACATGCCCGGCTCAAACTGTGCAGGTTTGTGACAACTACCACAGTACAGAATTGGCATTCTGAAACTTGGAGTTCACAGATGAGTTTCAGACAGGCCATCAAATCCCTACAATTTTAAAGGAATGTGTATTTTTCAGTAATCTATTATTCACAAAATTAAAAACACATGTATTACAAGAATAAAGCTTATGTAGGCTGTTTAAAATACCAAAGGAACCAAATTAGTAAATTATGCTGGCACCTTAAAAAATTCACCAGCACACATACATTTACTTAAAAGTCAAGGTATAAGCAGGAGCAAAATCTCAAAGAAATATATAAAATATGCATACATGTTCATTCAAGGCTTTTTGAACCAACGGCCAGCACTCTTTCAAGTAAGCTTCTCTATATTTTGGGAACAAAGTTGCAAAACTGCTTTCCTCCAGGAGTCCTCTGGGATTGTCCTCTTTGGAAAAAGCTGGTTCCTTCCAACCATCAGGAACAGTGAGGAGTTCTGATTCATCTACAGGAAAAAAAAAACAAAACAAAACACACATCAGATTTTAGCCCACTTTTGGACATTTATATGCATAGTAGGGTCCCTAGGTGTGGCCGGCAATTGGAGTGAATGGGGGCCTTCCTTTGTTCCATGCTGTCCCCTGGTGGTCAGCGCACATCATAGTGAGCGATCGAACTCCCGAGGGGACACTTTGCATTTTAGCCTTTTATATATATAGATAAGTAACCTTTCAAATTTTATGGAAGTAAAGCCTAAGTATGCATATATATGTATATACTATATTTGCATATGTGTGTATGTACATAAAATTTTTAAAAGTTGATACTCTGATGTACACTTTCAGTTAATAATCACTGGTATAGGGTTTCCAAAGAATTTTCATGAGCCTTATTTCTGTATACCCTTCATGATAACCATGAAAGGTAGGAAGAACCAGCATAATTTTTCCCATTTCATAAAAGACATTCAGACCAAAAAGATTAGTGACTTGCTTAAGGGACATAAAGGTCTCCTTTCATCAGAACAAAATGCCTCTGAAGGGCCATAAATTATCTCCCATAGCATTTATTTAAAACTCTTGATCCTGGATTTTAGGAACTTCTTAATCCAGTAGCTATAACTTACATTAGTACTATTCAAAGGTACGATACATAGGCCTGCAGCAGGAGCATAAGCTGCGAGTGTGTTAGAAATGTAATTCTTGCCCTAGCCGGTTTGGGATAGAGCGTTGGCCTGTGGACTGAAGGGTCCCAGGTTTGATTGTGGCCAAGGGAACATATCCGGGTTGCAGGCTCGATCCCCAGTGGGGGGCGTGCAAGAGGCAGCCAATCAATGATTCTCTCTCATCATTGATGTTTCTATCTCTCCCTCTACCTTCCTCTCTGAAATCAATAAAAATATATTAAAAAAAAAAGAAAGAAATGTAATTCCTGGCCTCCACCCCAGACCTACTGAATCTGAAGCTCTGGGCTGAGGCACAAGAATCTTTGTTTTACAATCTTATCAGGAGATTCTTCTGCAGAAGTAGGTCTTGATAATCCATGTTATCCACCCCAGTGAGGTACACCTGCTTTCTGCTTCTTATACTTGGCTGTTTCTGGATGAAATCACAGAGAATTAGCTAATCTTCATATATCGTTCACTTCCCAATATCCTTAATAAAAGCTTGAAATGAACAATTGTCATTATTTAAAATGCACATCTGACCAAGTCCTTCCCAATTTAAACACTTCAATGGCAATGAATTTAAAATACATAGAAGTTTCACAACAGAGGAAGTTAATACAAATAGCCTTAAAACATGTGAAAAGATGTGCAACCTCATTAGTAATAAGAAAAGTTCAAAATAAAAACCAATTGATACCATTTCATACTTACAAGATGACAGAAATTCATAATTCAGATAATACCAAAGTGTTAGTTACTGTGGATATAGAGCTAAGAGAACTCTCACCCTCTGCTAGAAGTATAAACTAGCACAAACCCTTTGGGAAAGAATTAGCATTGTTACAGGATTCCAGGGGAGGAGGTATGGGGAAACTGAGACAGAAAGTCTCAGTTTTACAAGACCAAATAGTATGGGCAATTTGCAGCCAGCTTTTTTTTTTTTTTTTTAAATATATTTTATTGATTTTTTACAGAGAGGAAGGGAGAGGGATAGAGAGCCAGAAACGTTGATGAGAGAAACATCGATCAGCTACCTCCTGTACACTCCCTGCTGGGGATGTGCCCGCAACCAAGGTACATGCCCTCGACCGGAATCGAATCTGGGACCCTTGAGTCCGTAGGCCAATGCTCTATCCACTGAGCCAAACCAGTTAGGGCTGCAGCCAGCTTTTAAATAACAAGCCATTATCTTCTCTAGCCAAGGACACTTGAAAGCAATGGTTAAAAACCTCCCTAATGGGAATGCGGAAAGGGAGGGGGAAAAGGGACAGGAAAAGGAGGCAATGTTACTCCCTAGGCAGAAAAGCCAGCAGTCTCTAGGACAAGGGTCCTCAAACTACAGCCCGCAGGCCACATGCAAATACAAATATTGTATTTGTTCCCGTTTTGTTTTTTTACTTCAAAATAAGATATGTGCAGTGTGCATAGGAATTTGTTCATAGTTTTTTTTTTAAACTATAGTCCGGCCCTCCAACGGTCTGAGGGACAGTGAACTGGCCCCCTGTTTAAAAAGTTTGAGGACCCCTGCTCTAGGTTATAAAATTGCCAGGGGCTTCTCATGAATTCTGAGAAGGCCACAACAAAGTAAAAAGGGACCTTGAAAATTAATCTGTACCAACAGGTTCAGCAAAGGAATTTTGAGCCCTAGCCGGTTTGGCTCAGTGGATAGAGCATCGGCCCGCAGACTGCAGGCTACCAGGCCCCATTCAGGTCAAGGGCACATACTTCAGTTGCAGGCTCAATCCCCAGCCCTGGTCAGGGTGCACGTGGGAGGCAATCGATGTGTCTCTCTCTACCTCTCTTCCACTCTCTCTAAATATCAATGGGAAAATATCCTTGGGTGAGGATTAAAAAAAAGAAGAAAGGCATCTTTAGCAACTACAAGTTGAAACTAGTACCAAATGACTGACTAGAAGAACCTATACAGTGAGGGGAAAAAAAGAAATTTTGAAACCTATAGATGGGAGGGTATATCAGCCTGAGACCCCCACCAAATTTGCTTTTCAGATTAGCTGCCCGCCTGCACTTCTTAAGCCAGATGTATAGATTTGCTTGCTTTGCTTCTTTATCAAAGGTGCATGCTTTAATAAGTTGGCTTTTCACAATGCAATCAAGGTCCCTCGTACACATTCATTTTTAAGAGAAGACAAGGATGGAGGCTGTTCCCAGTGGGAGCTGTCCGGGAACACCTCTCTGGTGCTGGTGAGATGTGCCTCTAACAGCAACACCTGCACAGACTCTACACTTCAGGGATTCCAATCCCGTGTACACAACCTCCTAGAGAAACTCTTGGACATGTAAAGCTAGAGATGTGTACCAACATGTCTAATAGCAGCACTGTTCATAACAGCACACAATGGGAACAATGCAAATGTCTATCAATGGGAGAATGAAAATATAAATTATTATTTTTTAAAATATTTTCTTATTGATTTCAGAGAGGAAGGGAGAGGGAGAGATAGAAACATCAATCTATTGATAAGAGAGAATCACTGATAGGCTGCCTCCTCCAAAGCCCCCTACTGAGGATTGAGCCTGCAATCCAGGCATGTGCCCTTGACTGAAATCGAACCTGGGACCCTTCAGTCTACAGCTTGACGCTCTATCCACTGAGCAAAACCAGCTAGGGCGAAATATAAATGAGCGTATATTCATACAAGTGAACATCATAGCAGGAGGGAAACATACAGCTTCAAGTATAGCCCTGATTAAATAACAAAAACAAAGTTAAGCCTAAGATGCAGGACACAGAACCATGCCCACAGTCCTCCCAGTCACATAAAATTAAAATGTAGGCAACAGTACACCGCTTTGTGCATAGTTGGGAAAGACTATCAAGAAAAAGCACAGAATGATCAACTCGATTTAGAACAGTTACTTCAAGTCTCAAAGAAAAAGAGTGTTCTGAGAGGAGCTTGCAGGGGGCTTTTCGGGTTTCACAACGTTTTGTTCTGCTCAATGGTCTGAGCGCTTCTTTCTCACGTGTTGGCTTTAAGCTGTACATGCACCAAACTCCACTGTGTACACTCCTAATTAAAAGAACAAAACACCGTTTATACCTTTCTAATGCCTTCAGAATGAGAGTTCAAGGTTTTTAACATTTCCCATAAGAATGGTTTCTGAGGTCCTGGGCTATTTCTCTAGCCTCTCTTCCTGGCATTCATACTGACGAAAATGGATAAAACCAGAATAAAACAAGACGGCAATTTAAAAGCAAGGCAGTCTAAAGGGGAGGAGCCGTGTCGTCTAATATTTTAACAATTTGATAAACAATAATAATAAATGATGCAAATAATACATGATGCAAAATTTCTTGAGGAGCTCACACACTAGCATTCAGGACACGCCAGACATCTCCTCCTCATCACTGTCTCACCCCTTATTACCAGCGTCCACTCAAGTAAATAATCTCCTCCTCCTCCTACCGCATCCCTCATTCTGTCAGCGACTTCCGCCCAGCGCCGCAAGTCAAGGGCTCTGCGACGCCCTCCAAAGTGTCTTAAAGATGATCACTTTACGGAAAACGAAGTCCGCAACACCTGCGCTCTGGGAGCCTTTAGCAAAAGCGATTAGTTAGGAACACGTGACCGACACCATATCCGCCAGACGGTTCCGCAGGCCCGGCCAATACCCCTAAAAAGCAGCTCTTATAGAGACTCAACTTCAGAGAACAGACCCGAGGCGGCGTCACACGATCGCAACTGAGCCTCCACACCCGGGCTTCGGTGCTCACACCACCTTACCTCGGTTCTCCTGCTTCTGCTTCTGGTTACGAAATTCACTCTTTCCAGGCGCCGGGGCTGGCCCGTTCGCTTGGGAGGTCGCCATGTTCGAAACGCTCCCGTTACTTCCGGAAATGGAACGGTTCTTTAATCCTTCCGGCTAAGGTCCTTGTACTCAAAAGGAGTTCCGCAGAACCCAGACGAGAGATCTGCGCAGTCTCTGTGCGTGCCTACGCTGGAATCCGCGGATTTGTGTAAACTACAGCGCTCCTTTCAGGTAGGTCCGGGCTTCTTCCCAGGATGCAGTGCAACCACGGAGTTTGACTGCATGCTGGGAATTGTAGTTTAGCTCTGTAGGCAAGTTGGAGACGGGTCTTGTCTGTAATTTTCCCATGGCTTCAGAGTCTAACCCGGGCTGACCCACTCTAGGGTTTGGCCGCAAAGTGCAACCTATCACTAAAGTCACTCCTTTGGTAAATATTTATATGATAGTCAAATATGTGGTAGACGTTGGGAGAAGGTACTAATATGAGAAATATGGTTCTCAATGGCAGGAGGTGACAGTAATAGCTACCATTTACTGTGAGATTTCTTTGTGCAAGTACATTATGTGTATTGTTTCTAATCCTTACAACAAAACTGCCGGGAGCCAGTCCATCCTTGCTGCTTGACACAGTCGCTGCAGGGAAGAAACATCTGCACAGCATATGTTTCAAGGGACCTGGCGTATATGGCATACTGTTCTTAATATGTTTGCTCCCCTTCTTGGCGCTATGTGTTTTAACCAAGGTCACCTCTCCGAGAAAGGTTGTTTCCCCAGGTGGGGATTTTTCCCTGGAGTTAGGGATTAACAGGACTAAGGAAGGGAATAAATCAGTAAAACTCCTTAACTAAGGCGGGTAGTTAATCACTTTAACTACAAACAATCACCCTTGAGCTACATAATCTTTACTCCCTGGAATGGAGATAAGAAACGCCCTAACCTTTGGAATAGAAATTGATAGGATTAAAATCAACTGGTATAAATACAGATGTAACAAGACAACAGAAGACAGAACCTAGAGAAAGAACCTAGTGAGAGAACATGGCAAAAGATCCTGGACAGAACCTGGCTACAGAACTTGGCTGGAGAACCTAGACCAGCCGTGGGCAAACTACGGCCTGCGGGCCGGATCCGGCCCGTTTGAAATGAATAAAACTAAAAAAAAAAAAAAAAGACCGG